ATAGCAAGGGCCAGTGAGAGCTGCAGGGAGGGCGGTGGGGTTGTCGTTCAGCAAGCACTGCAGCCACTGGTTCTCACAGGGGCTCAGTTACATGGGAATGCACTGTGGAGTGTAAGGCCACAGCCAGAACCCAATCCCATCTCATGCTGGAAGGAAAAGTGGCCCCCCGTTTGCGGGGCCATGCCAAGGTCTTCAAATCCGGCAAGCTCAAACATTCAGGTTGGGGTCTAGAAATCCGCCCAGCTCTGGAGTCTATTTCTTTTGAAAGGTCTGACTTTGAAAAGGAGAGGTCTGCCAGGAAGGAGCCCACATATGGTTTACATTTGCTGGTTGAGTGTTTAGAAGAGCTCCCCAGTCTCTCCAGAAGGCTCAGGATGGAAAAGGAAAGATCCCTTTGACTGGTCTCTGTGAGATAATTGAGCTGTCCAGGTGTTAGTTTTCTCTTAGGACTCAGTACTTTTTCAGGCAGTCCCTTCCTAAATCCCAGAAGAGACACCATTTTAGTGCAAGCTAAAAAAATCTCATTTTATTTCCACTATTTCCACTGGGATTTGCTAGAAATCTTCCATAATTACACACGTGTGTGTCAGTATTGTATTTCCCTTCAGTATATCTGGTAGCACTTGGAGATTTATAGTGTGTGCTGGGCTTCACTGTTTATTGCTAAACCACAAGTACACTTCTTTTTTCCCAAAGTGGTTTTTTTTCTCCCTCCTTCCCAGGTACTTCTGAGAGAATATCAAGGTGCTGCTCTCAATTTTCCCTTCTCCTTAACACACACACACATCTAAGCTCCAGTCAAGTATTTATTTGCTTTGATTTCAAAGATGATATCTACCACAGAGCTCATTTTGACAATGTGCAACATTATCAGAAAACTACTGAGAGAAAAATTGAATCCAGCAGTATTCAAATACTACTGAAGAGAATAATCAGCCCAAATTAAAGCTTCTTCCTATGGCTATCATTCTTCCCCTCCCTCTGAACCCATAGCAAACACGTTTTGCTGTGTGCACAGAATACATCAGAATCCTTGTGTGGTTTCCTTATTTTCTGTGAAAGCCATCATTTCTTTCCATGTAAGAAGCTTAACCTCTCCTGCAGACCATCCTAGTTGCTGGATGTGTTTGTCTTCTTCATGAAAATAATATTTTGATTTTCCTTCTGTATGAGCCCGATCTTAATAACTCCTTTGTGATTTTTATTCCTACTTCAGTTTTTAAAATCTGTGGCTCAACACTCTAAAAACTAAAATATGTAACATCATATCAACATTTCCTAAGGTTAAATTAAGAGGATAATATTTTACCTTTCCCTAGTCAGAGAAAGCTCAACTAAATCCTTCTTCATCAGTTGTTCACCTTTCTGTCTGTCACAGAGGGAAAAAAACCCTATGCCGCTTTCTGCATGGTCTCCCATGCAGGGTATATTTACAGGCTCTCTAACCTCATCCTTAATGTCTTGATTCTGCTTTTAAGTGCCTCTTCTCAAATCCCTTTTAAATCCCACTTCCATGCTACTTTCATGAGCGATGTATTTTAAGGTGCACAGATAATTCAGCCTATTTGTGTTTTTCCCATCACCTTTACCTGACCTAACCTACATCACCGAAGTGAAGAATGTGGCTAAACAGGGTGTTCTGTTATTTTTGCCAGAAAGAGCTTAAAAGTAGAGTACCTACTACATTATGAAAGGATTAAACATACAGATTTTCTATGATTGTGAAGACAGCTCCAGTAACATCATGACAGATTTAGACACAGAAATCTTAGACATTGGTAGCTCTAGTGAATGAGATTTACAGGTGGAAACCACAAGAGAGTAATTGGTGCTAATGAATGCCTCAACTGAGTGCTGTTAGGATCATAAGGACAACATGTTAGTTACTGATATAGAATATTATTAATCAAATCACATTGATCTGATTACTAATCAGTGGAGAAATCTCGCCAGCACAGAGCGAGAAATTGCTATTTGCGAGAAGGTGTGATGGAGCCAGAGTTTTCCTGTGTACTTTTGACTGGGACCAAACATGTCTATTGCTTTACTTTCCTTGCTGTAGGATTTTTCTGGCAACAGTAATAGGTATAGAAAAAAATTGAAAACAAAACCATTCACACCTTTGCAAACCCTTTGTAAGGCACCGCTACAGGGGATCAGTCGTGCAGAGTCAGGCCCTGGGTTCAAGCTGTGCACCCAAGCTTTGGAAACGATGCGTGGAGGCCATTAGACACGTCCAAAACAGGCTTTACAAAAGCTGACACTAAGGTAGCTAAGAGGAAAGGCTGAGGAGAAGGAATTAAGCCTAAACCCCCATGGAATGTTACACTTTGCTCGGGGCCAGACTCAACGCAAAGTATCTCTCAGGAGCTGGCGCCATGTCAGTGCAGTAATTTCTGATACAAAAAAGTGAGGAGGAAATCCTTCTCATTTTCTCTCCCTCCCCTAACACCATACAGTGATCAGAGCACTTAAGCTGGATGTTACCAATTCACTTTTTACAAAGGGCATTAGGATTTGTGTGGCTCTGTACACTGTAGCAATGTCTTAGTGCCACGGGAAATACCCTGGTCTGACTGCCTAAGGCATGCAGGCCTCCAGGGCTAGCCATAACTGAAAGTGGAGAAGAACAGGTGTGGATTTTATGTATGTATTTTTGTCATTAGTGGCATGAATTCCCTGTGCTGGAGACACAAATATGTTATAAACATACACGTATGAGTGCCCCATCATGGTCTCAGCCTCAGTTGGGAGAGTCATTGCCTGGTTTTGTAAGATTGGGTAGGTTAAGTTCAAGATATTACTAAAGGAAATAGCAAAAAAACCCCATCTCTGAATCACAGTTGGAAAGTAGACTGTAAAAATAGATAAATAAAGAGTCAAGTTTCGATGCTCGTTTTGGTGGGGATTTTGTCTGGAGATCTTGGCAGGAGAATATGAACAACTGTTACAACTCAAAAAGCACCACCACTTTTAATTGTGCAGGTTGTGGGAGCACAGATCTGATTCACTATGTATTCTTAACGCAGGAGAGGAGAGTAAGGTGTGAGAGACTGACACCTGAGACCTTGGTTTGGGGGATCAGAGGGTGGGGGTACTGAGAACACGGGGTAGAGACCTTGCTTGAGAGGAGGCATCTGGTAGAAGGCAGAGGCAGAGCAGAAGGCTGGGCTGCTACAGCTGCCAGGGCTTACCCAAGTACAGTGAATGACTGGGGTTTAAAACATAATGTTCCTCTGCACCCCAAGCATGGGGAAAGGACTGTATTCAAGGATCTACTTTTGTCCCATCATCAATTAAAACCAAGATGTCTCTCTAATAATGTGCTAAAATACTGCCTTTCTCTAGTTATACCATGTTTTTATTACGGGTGCTTGGGACAGAGCAGCAAGTCTAAAATGTGTGTGGATGGGACAGAAAACCCAGTGAAGTTGTGTTTAGGGATGATGATGCCATTTACCACAGCTCTGTGGAGAACTGCAGTTGTGTGTACAAGGGGAGTTGAAGCTACATAGATCTGGGCTAAGACTAAGGCTGGGTAAGCCTAGTACTCCTGACAGCTGGTGCCCAGCTTCTCATTAACAGAACACTGGAGGCAGGACAGCATCAGCAAGGATGGGAATCAGTTATTCCTGCTGCATGTGAAGAGCCTCACTGCACGTCACCTGACTTGCTCCAAACTTTCTGAATTTGGAGAACCCTGGCGCCCCGTGGGGAGGATGGCAGCAGAGCACCCTGGCTACGGGGTAGAATGAGGAGCTGGAAGCACTGGGAAACCCTTGTTCCAACATAGACAGTTCCAGGAAAAGGTCTGGGATGGCATCTGCTTTGCCTCTTGGTCCCTGTATCCCTGTGGCATCCCTGGCAGAGCTGCACACCACGCCAGTGCATGCAGCAATAGGGTCATGGATCCTGGTACTTGCTTTAGGGATTTCCACAACCCTCCCCTAACTCAGTTCAACGTTACTAGCAAAATGACAACTTGCTCACCCAAGCATTCAGGTGCTTATTCGTTTTTTAAGCTGTAAATTTAGGACATTATCTTCATTGTATACCTGAGGGCTGCTCCTCAGTTGCTTGCTTTCCTTCATTTCTCCTCGGTGTTTAACAGCTTGCCTTTTCCTTCCGTGGTGCTGGAGTGATTTTTGGTGTGTCATCTTGGGGACTGCTCAGTAAAGCTCTCAGCCACGAAAGGTCAGGCATGCCACAGAAATGACTATTAATAGGTCTTTAGTGCTGGTTATGTCTAAACCTGAATTTCTTGGAAAAAGGCAGCTTGGGTCCCCTGACCGATGGCTCTCTCGACTATTGTGAAGGTGAAGGGCCAGACCGGCATCCGTGGGGTCTCCCTCTGAAACACACCTCCTGCGAGTGGGGACACAGGGTGCAGGGGGTAGTTAAAGGAAGATAAAACTGTTTAGTCGCTGCTGCGTGTGGGACGAGGGTGCACTTGCTGTAGACGAGCCTACTGCAAGCCGGTGTCCTGGGAGCTGTCTCTTCCAGCCGGTACCGCCGGCTCCCGGGGGAGCCGGGCAGCGGCAGCATCTTTGGAGGCACGGGCAGCTCTTCCCTTCCAAAGGGTGTCCGGGCTCCTTGATTCCGGCAAACACAGACGTTTAAAATAAGATTTTGTTCATCCATCCTAACGACGCTGGCTCTATGTATAGTCGGCGCCTGGGGCCGAGCAAGTGAAGCCCATCTCGAAAAACCGAGAGCGACCTGGGCCCGTCTCGGGATCCGCAGGGCCACCCTCCTGCGGTGACCAAGAGGCCCACTCCTGTCCCTCCGAGCTGCGGGGGGAGCCGAGCCCGGCCGGACCGGCCCGACCCCTCCGCCCCCCGGCGGCGATGTCCGCCCGACCCGGGAGCCGACGCGCCGGGCGGAGGAGGGGAGGAAAGGGGAGGGGAGGGCAGGGGGTGGGCGGCCCGCTGCCCCCCCGTCCCCGCCGGCACGTGCCTGCCCGCCCCCTCGGGCCACTGCCGCGCCCCGACGGCCCCGGCATGGACGCGCCCGGCCAGCAGCCCGCCAGCCCCCGAGCGGGCCCTGAAGTCGCGGCGGCGGGACGGGCTCCGAGCCCGAGCCCAAGCCCAAGCCCAAAGCCGAGACCGAGCCCGAAACCCAGCCCGGAGTCGGCCATCGAGGAGGAGGAGGAGACGGCGTATGTGGAGATCCGCGGCTCGCCGCGGGGGCCAGAGGAGAGCCACCAGAGCCCCGAGCTGGCCCCGGCCGGCGGTGTGGAGCGAGTGGCCGGTCCCGCACGGGACAGCGGAGCCGGCGGCACTGAGGATGGCGGCTCGGCGAAAGGTGGATCCTCGGGGGAGGCGACGGGGCCAGCATCCTCGGACAGCGGGAGGGATCGACCGCCTTCCCCGGCGGAGGTGGCGGCGGCGGCGGGATGCGGAGCTGACACCGGCCCCGGCCCCGGCCCCGGCCCCGGCTCCGGCTCCGGGGGAGCGTCAGGGAGCGGCGGGCCGCCGGAGCTGGGGGGCTGCCCGGAGTCCTCCTCCTCCTCCTGCCCTTCGCCGGTGACTAAGACGGACGGCTTTCCCGCAATGGGCGACCCGGTGTCAACGGAGGGCAAAACCTCCTCGTCCTCCTTCGGATACGAAAGCGAGGAGGAGGACGAGGTCGCGGGGCGCAAGGCGACCCCCCCCGGACCTCCCCCGGGCACCCCCCCCGGCGGCGGCCGCGACGAGGCGCACTATATCAGCACACAGGAGATCCAGCTGAGCGAGGTGGACCACGATATGGACTTCGACGCGGGGCTGGCCGCCCGCTGGGACTTCGAGGATAACAACGTGATTTACTCCTTCGTGGACTACGCCTCCTTCGGGAGCGACGAGACCCCGGGGGACACGCTGACGGAGGAGGAGGAGAATAGCTGCTACCTAAGCACGACCACCAGCGACCCCAACAACCAGACGGACAGCATCGACAACACCAGCAGCACCGAGATCGTCAGCCTTACCTCCGAACACGACACCCCCGGTGGGGACAAGCGCGCCAGCTCGGGGGAAAGCCGGTCCAAGCAGTCCGGCCGCCCCGGCGGGAGCCCGGCCGCCCAGCTTCTCCTATCAATCAAAGCCGCTTCCCGGGCTATAAATGAGTCTAGCAACGTGCGTGGAAAGCAAAACACTGTTTACGCTGCCAAGCATGAAGGCGACATGAGCCTCCGTGTCGCCGCGGCTCCCGACCGCAATGCGAGTTTAAAACAGGACGCGGTCCGCGACCACACGAAAAAGTTCATCGCGGTCCCCGCGCGGCTGCAGACCCGGTGCGGGGCCGCCAGGGCAGGGGAGCACTCGAGCGGCGCCTCCAGCGCCGTCAGCGAGCTGGACGATGCCGACAAAGAGGTGCGAAACCTTACGGCTAGGGCTTTCCGCAGCCTGGCGTACCCCTATTTCGACACCCTGCGCCCCGGCTCCCGCGCCTCCTCTGCCTCCCTGCCCGACAATGCCCTGGGCATCAACCGCTGGTCCACCTACCTGGACCTCAAGTGTGGCAGTCTGGGACCGAGAGCCGAGCCCAGCTTGCTGCGCTCCGGCCGCTCGCAGACCAAAGCCCTCGAGTTCGTGGTCAGCAAGCTCGACGGGGAGATCGCCCACGTCGAGTCGCCGCGGCGGCTGCGGGCGGGCTCCCGGGTGGTGACCCTGCTGGACCTCGGCGATGCCGCCGAGGCCGGGGAGCCGCCAGCGGCAGAGAGCGGCGGGAAGGGATCCAGCAAGAAGTCCAAGTTCGCCTCCAGCCTCCTCAAAAACGTCATCTCCAAGAAGATGCAGCTGGAGCACGAGTTCAAGATGGAGCGGGGCGAAATCACCGACACCTCCTACACCGGGCCGGGCGCCGGCCGGGAGCCGGACCCCGCCGGTGGCGCCGGCCGGGAGCGGCAGCGGGAAGTTGGCGTGCAGCGGCAGAGCTCCCGGCACTCTGAGGGCGGCTCGGACTGCACCGCGGCGGCGGCGGAGGATGCGGGCGAGGGCGGCGGTGGTCGATCGCCGGCCTCCAAGGCATCAACGCCCCGCGAGGGGAACCGCAGCCTGGATAGGGCACTGTCGGATGAGCTGTGCGAGGTGAAGCGCAGCGCCTCGGAGGCCATCAAGGCCACCTTCCTCCGCAGCCAGAACAGCGCATTCAGGTCCTGGAAGGAGCGGGAGGCAGAAAGGAAGGAGGAGAGGGCGCCCGTCGGCAAGCTGAAACTCCCGCACAAGCAGGACTGGCGAGCCGACTTGGGCGAGATCTCCGCCGGCAAGTCCACCAAGATGTCCCGTCTGTTCGTCCCCGCAATTCAGCACACCCCCCGGGAGAAGGAGCCCGGCAAGCGGGCAACCAAGTGCTCCGCCGCCGCCGCCACCTCTTCGCCCGCCGCCGCCACCACTTCGCCCACCGCCACCACCACCTCGTCCCCCGCCGCCAAGCCCAAAGCACCCGAGATCAAGATCAGCCTGGGCAGCGTGCAGCAGCCCCGGGACGCCGCCTTTAGCATCGCCCAGCTGCTGACGCCGCAGATTGCAGGCCGGCCGCTGGAGGAGGGCAGGGGGCAGCACATCAAGCCGCTCAAGGCCGGCGACGGCCACGACAAGGTGCCGCAGTTCCTGGTGCGCGACGTGAGGGACAGCAAGTACAGAGCCCAGGGGATCCTCCACCAGGTGCGGGACGTGCGGAAGCTCATCAAAAGCTCCTACAGCGCTGACTCGGGGGATAACAGCAGCGACAAGGGCAGCGGCGCCTCCGAGCAAGGCGGCCCTGAGCAGAAGTCCCGGCAGCAACTGGTCATCGCCGGTGTCCCCCGGTCCCTCTCCCCCGTGGTTATCACCTGTCAGGCAGTCGGCCACGCTGGCACCAAGCCCACTGAGGCGGGGGCCAAGGCGACGAGCAAGGCGCCGGCCTGTCCCCCGGAAGGCACCGTCCTGGTGCACCGCACCTCGGGCAGGTTGCCGGTGGCCACCATCGCCCCCAACAAGAGCGATGCTCGCCAGCCGGCCGTGCTGAAGATCGTCTCTAAATCCTCTGCGCCCTGGCGGCACCAGCCCCCGCCGCCGCCCGCCGAGAGGGGCCGGGGGTCGGAGGAGGATCCGCGGGAGGAGAGCAAGGCGGCGCCCGTGCAAAACGCGCTGGAGAAGCTGACGGCTGCGGTGAGGAGCATGGAGGAGCTGTACAGCTTCAACAAGCGCGAGTGGAAGCGCAAAAGCGACCCTCTGCCCATCACCGACAGCCACGTCCTCTCCCTTATCGCCAGCCAGGAGCGAGGCGCCGGGTCCCGGCCCGCCGCTGCCGCTGCCGCTCCCCCGCCGCCGCCGCCGGCGGATAAGGCGGAGGAGCCGTCGAGCAAGGGGCCAGGCAGCGAGCGGCTGCCCCGCCGGCCCTCCAACAACACGGCCGATAAGGTCTCGGCCAAGGCGGCCGCCTTCGAGAGCCTAGCCCGGCAGCGGCAGCGCGGCCCGCCGCCCCCCCGCGCCGAGCCCCCTGCCCCTCCCCGCGCCCTCCTCACCCTCCGCGGAGCCGGAGGAGCGGGAGCCCCCGGGCCGGGCAAGCCCCCCTCCGCGGCAAGCCAGGCACCGCCGCGCTCGCCCCGCCTGCCCGGGAGCGGGGGCGCCGGCGATGCGGAGCGCGGCCCGGACTGCGGGAACTACCTGGCCCTGCCGCTGAAGGCGCCCGCCGAGCCCGGCTCCCCGCCCTCCCCGGTGCCGGTGTCAGGGGCGGGTGGCGGCGTCCGCCCCAGCCCGGTGTCAGCGGCGGCGGCGGCGGCGACGCTGTGCAGCCTGCAGCCCTTCGGCACCGCCAAGCCCTCCGGCAGCCCCAGACCCCCGCCCGGACCCCCGGCCGCCGAGGAGCCCCCCACCGCCGCCCCGCCGCCCGCCGAGGGCACTCCCGCCACCCTGTACCGCCCGCCGCTGCCCTTCGCCGCGCTGCCCGGCGCCGCCCCGCCGCTGCTCTGCTTCTCGCCCTCCGTGCCCGCCGCGGCCGCAGCGACCGAGCCCTTCCCACAGACGCAGCGCAAGGTGCTGCTGGACGTGAGCACCGGGCAGTACTACCTGGTGGACACGCCGGTGCAGCAGCCTCTCAAGCGGCGCCTCTTCGACCCCGAGACCGGGCAGTACGTGGAGGTGCCGGTGCCCCAGCAGCCGGCCGTCGCCCCCGTCCCGCTGCCCCTCTCGCCCCTGGCCCTCAATGCCGGTGCCTACGGCGCCACGTACATGCTTTACCCCGGGCTCTTGCCCACCGCCACCGTGCTGCCCGCCGGCGCTCTGCAGCGCCCGCTGTCCCACTCGGGCAGCGATGCCAGTGCTCCGGCAGAGCCTGGCAGCCCAGCAGCAGCAGAGGCAGCTTTTGCCGAGAGTCCCTACTACGTGGCTACCAGCAAAGGCCCGCCGCCGCCACGGCACGGGGCAGCCGAGGCGAAGCCGGTCATCAGCATAACAGCGCCAGCCACCGGCCCGAGGATCGTCGCGCCGCCCTCCTTCGACGGCACCACCATGCGCTTTGTGGTAGAGCACCGGTGAAGGGCGCAGGTGAGAGTGCTGGCTGTCAGGCACGACAGTCACCAGTGATGGTTAAGGGCAGACCTGGTTAATTCCAAGTGACAGCTGTGCCACAGCTTCTCAAGGAGGAGAGGGTCCACAGACGGGCTCTCACCAGGGCTTAAAATATAGGCATAAGATAGAAACACAAAGGTTACACACACCCATTGGTGCAGTTCAGTATCCCTTGCAGCAGTAAATGTCGTCTTTCTTCAGACTGGAGGCAGTTTCAGGAGAAGCACACCGGAGCTGCTTGTCAGATAGCCTGCATTTTTGCAGCCTCGGGGCTCCTGGGGATGGAAGTGTGTTTGGGCATCTCCTCTGGAATCATCCTCCAAGCCATGAAACAGTCCCTTCGTCTTAGCAACACATCCTCCCATTTTCTCACCTCTTGCCTCTTCCTCCCAAGGAGTTGAGCACCTCTCGCTTTGCCCTTGAGCCCCTGTTTCTCCCTAGCCTCAAGAAGAGTGGGAGAGGGGTCTCATGGAAGCAAACCCTTATTTCGTGTCCTTCTCATTAGTGGGATGAGGGAGTAGGATGCATGGGGTGGACCCTGGTGTGCTCTCCCAGTGCCATGGAGCTGCTGGCAGGGGCCTGTGGTGCAGGAGAGCTCCAGAAGAGCCCACAGGCACCGTTGCTAAGCACAGTTTTGCATAGCTACTTGGAGCTTGGCCTGCCACAGTGCTAACAGTGTCCAGTTACCTAGGCTGTAACTCAGGGCCAGCCTCCAAATTCAGGGATGCATGTGCAAAGGGCATTGAATACTTGTCCTGGAGCAAGGAGGAGAGCACGGGACTGGGCATACAGCATGCATTGTAACCAGGGCTCAGGATGGTGCAGGATGTCTCCTACAAAATACCCAAGGAACAATGACATTTCATTTTAAAAGACCTGAAATATTATGTAAGTGCCTTCAGGACCTTTTTTCTCTTGCATTAGAATGTATGGCTCATCTTTATCAAGTGCAGCATTGGGCAGAGCTACCAAAATCTTCTGTGGCTTAACAAAAGACTCACAGAGCTGGTTTTTGGTGTATAGGAAAAGGCAAAGAAAAAGAGCAGCAACAGAGAGTCAGAGGTTTGGATTTGTCACCAGTTTATGTTGAGTTTTGTCCAGTTGGATGCTTGAGGGTTTCTTCCAGCACTTTTGTTATCATTTTTGTTTTAACAGTTCTTTTAGTTTGCATCATCTACTACTGCATTGTAGATTATTTGTTGAATGAAACCTTACTGATGTGATTTATACACTTATTTTTTTCTCTGCTTCTAAATATTTTATCTTGAAAGTTCCATTCATTTATCCTAGCTATAAGTTAAGTTGTTTTCATTGGCCCTTATGAGTCATTCAGGATAGGCAAAGTTCCAATTTAACTTGAGCTCTACTCTCCTACTTGACTTCATCTTGTCAGTAAAGTCTCCATAGAGTATCTAGAAAAAATGGCAAAAAGTAATTGATTTTTTTTTTTCCATTTGGTCTACTGGCTGAATTGAGACTGCTAGCAGAAGGAATTAGTTAGATTTCAGTTTAGAGGCTTGATGTTTTTGAAAAGGTGTGGTATATAGCACCCATATTTCTAACAGCACCCATTTAAACAAAAACCTCTAGCTTTTCTGATATCACTCTTTGAAAGTGAAACCCAATACATTTCCCAGTGTGACCCACCCCTCGATTCCCAGGGATTATCCTGCCATGTCATGTAGCAAGCTTGCCTACCGTACCTGGTGAGGTGGGTGATGCTCTTGGCAAATTGCTGTTTCTCAGTGGTGAAGTTAATAACTGCATCGATACTCTTCTTAATTGTGTTACCTCAGAGCTCTACCATTGCAACACAGGTGTGAAAGCTGCCCCGAAAGACTGGTGATGCAAAAACTTTTCATACTCATTACAGAAAGTCATTCGGCAGTATGAAGACGTTAAGTTGATTTTACCATTCTTTTAATCTTTTAACATGCCAAGGTGCATGTTGTCTAATACAGAGAGGGATGCCCCCTCCAGGCTGTCTCAGACCTCCTGAGGTAGGTGTCCTGCTGGTGTGTGACGGATAAGGTGTACAGGTTTTTTCCCTTGGCCTGTTCTGAAAGTCAGTAAAACAAATAATTTTACCTGTGTGCTGCAAGACATATCTAGCTTGGCATTAGACTTTGTTTATTCATATAACTCTCAGTGGAAAATAGGGTATATGCCAGAGGGGAATTGCATCTATACCTTCTTCCCATTATTTTCATTCACCTACATAACTTTTGTGTCCCTGTGGATAATTTTTCCTCTTCTCTCCTTTATTATCTGCTCTTTCTTTTGTTTTCCATTATTTTCCTCTATCTCTTCTGTTGTTCCCTTCCTAATTAAAACCATTTGTTTGCTTGGGGTAATGTTTTTCCCCTAACGAGAAGAGCAGTATAATTTTGTATGAATCAGAGGGTGAACTGTTGATAATTTTTTCATTCTAGATGCTTTCACATCAGAACAGGTTTTTTTGATTGCAACAACGCTGTGCAGATCCTAAAACAGATTTTAGACCAGCCAGATTTCATCAGTGAGCGTGGGGGTTAAATAAAGTACTGTCCTTTCAGGTCCCTTTTCTTTACTAGCCAAAATAAGCAGAATGAATGCTTTCTTTCCACTCTTGTGTTCCTTTCTGCACTGCAAATAATATCTTCTTCCCGTCTTTGCCCTATTTTTTTCACATCTTCATTCACAAACTGTACCACTGTGTCAAGGACTGCTCCATCTTGATCTCTGTCACCTTTTGAAGACCAGTGTGACTTGTAGCTTTGGTGGTAGTGTGATGCCTGTGGCCATATTGTCACCGAGTCCTCTGCACACCTGCTTCACTTCTAAGACTTCTTTCTTTATATGGTGCTCTTTTCTGCATAATCAATGGGATAAAATGGATCCCATCAATTTGTATTCTGGCAAAATCCAAGGTGCCATTTCTGAACTATTCTTAAATAGTTTTTATATGGCAAATATTAGAGAATATGTGAGCGTTTCTTAGAGATATTGTAAGGCCATTTTTCTTCCCCCTCTTCTTCACTCACAGTAGGTGGGGAGCTTTAGCAACATAGTACTTGCTTGCTGTAGCAACACAGTACTTGCTTCTTTCTTCATCTGGGGGAAAAATTTTGCTAATTTTCAGTTCAAGTAAACTTGCCAATCTGCTCGCATCCAAACTTAGACAGCACCGTCCTGTAGTGTGCAGACTGCCTTACTCATTCCCAGCCTGAATAACTGAAAATGTAGTTTGAATTTTAGTATCTATCCTCACATTATACTCTGTAGAGTTTCTGCCTTGTGTTAGGTAAATAAATGAGAAAATAACAGGTAACAAAGTAGAAAGCAACTGTAGTAAATTGTAGTGCCAATATTAGAAGGATATTTTCCATTGTTCCGTTCAAACGTGCATAACCACCTTACAGTTACAGGAATATGTATGCAATTATACTTATTAGTTGTGTTTTCTTCCTAACTACCATCAGAAAATCTATACCTGCCTTTAAAAATTAATTTTGTTTGGATAGCATATATGAATGATTTTTAAAGGCTCATAAATTGATATTTTAAACTTTGTTTTAGTTGTTCCCCATTCAGCAGAATGTATGTTCTACATTATCGAGTCAAGATGTCAACTTACAGTGAACTATGCAGTACATAGGATTTACTTATGCTGAGGCCTTTGCTGAGCATTCAGTAAAGCATTTATCTAATTTTAGTGGGAAGTACAGGAATATTCCGAGAACCAAAAAGGCTTCAACATTTGATCTAGTAAATCAGTCTATGAATGGAAATAAGCATGAGCTTGTGTTCAAAACCATAGCTACTTAGGAAAGGTTTAAATAGTGCTTAACCTTGACACCAGTAAAAGTTAATGGTGAGCTTAATGACTCTTCTCGAACAGTATGATTTCCTGAGCCAGCATTTAAGTCTTAACTCCACAAATCTTGGAGCACATGGTTGTGGGTCGTTGCCCTTTTGCTTCTGTATGCAATGCTGGATGCTGTGCTGGTAAGTAAAGTGCCCATGTCTTTAAGTGAGCGGATGGATCATTTAAATCCTGGGTAGATCACATTGCCCTTTTTCTACCTATGCACTGTGTGGGGTTCCTCCGTACCAGTCCATGGGGAACCGGGGCGTTGTGAGGCACCGCATGTTGCACACCTTGGGCAGCAAGGATGGGTTCTGCTCGAAAAATAAGAGTGCCTGACCACTGGCTCAGTTTAAAAAGTTGGGTGCTATTGTCTGATTCTTGGCAGTAGCCAAGAATGAGGAATAAGTAGCAAGAATATTATTGAAAACAAAGAAGGTATTATTCACTTCTTTAGAACAGTAAAGATTGTTCAGATGGTTGTGGCATCTCTCTAACAATCTACTTTATATTAATGATGCTTTTCTGTTTTTCTTTGGGTTTTTTCACAGGGATAAGGAAGAAGAATTACGCTTCTTTAATTTGAAATACAGTTGGTAACTCTTAAACATTCATCCTAAAAACTGCTTCTACAGTTTTCTCAATTTTTTTGCTTCATCATATGAACCAAGTGTGTAAGTTTCTTGTTTTCTCCTAAGTGCCCCTCAGTTTTGGAGTATGCCTGCATTTAATTATGTGAGCAACGCTAAATTACTGCATTATTTTGTGCAAAGTTGGTTTTGTGTTGAAGCCAATCTGCAGGCTTTAAGCATTGCCTCTGTGCTGGTAGCTAGTGGTTTATAAAATGCAGGGTGTAAAGCAGCAGTGTTTCAGTGTGGATCGACGCACAGATTCATTCAGGTCCCTCAATTGTGTGGTGATGATCCAGTGCAGCCCTGCAGCTCTTTAAAAGAGAGAAAAAATAAAGCCCTCAGCTCCCTCCTATTGCAGTAATGAGGGTCTTCCCTATAGGTTTTGGTAACAATTTGTGATCAAATGGGGTTTTGTACTCTGTATTTCTCACTTGGAATTGCAAACCGAGAGAGCTGTAGTGGTAAAATTATCTTTAGTGTTTATTTTTTGGCATGGTTCAAAACAAATTGTGTAAATGTCAGGAAACACATTTGATTGGTTTTGTTTTTTGTTTGCTCCTCTGTACTGTGTTGAACATCACAAGTTGCCTTAATCATGACAGTGTTTAAATGCTGGGAAACCAGAAATTGAATGTAATATTTTAAAATCCTGGTTCTAAAGGAGAGGACAGCATTTATTTTTCTTTAAGACTGCAGCCCATTCTTCCTTAATTTGCAACATTGCTAAAAACATGATCCTAGTCATTTCCCTGGGAAAGGAATTTTTTAATGTTACAGCCCCAATACGACACAGTTGTTTTTTTAGCTGTTGTTTGACAGGTTTATCTGAGGCCTACAATTACACTATCTGTACTTGCTAAGAAAATATTTATCTTTTGAACTAGAAAATATAAAATAAGATTACTCAAAATGCAGTGATATTTATGTTGAACTCTACTTAAAGAGATTGGTTTTTTACTGGCAACTGATCTATCTCAGCAAAAGACAATTGTTATCATGACATTAAAACTAAACTACAGCAGTCTGCTCCCTGTCCAAAATGTCAGTTCAGTGAAGCACTTTGGGTAGCAAATAAATGTATGAGCAAGCCTAAATTATTTAGCATAAAGCTTCCCTGAGGTAACAGATTGTAATTTTAAAGTCTAAATGCAAACCCCAAAAGTTTATACTTAAGCATTTGCCCACAGGCAGAATTTTCCTGCGCCTGTTTTTGAGGTTTCTTGAAGCTAAGGATGTTTCAGTGTTTTCCATTTTTAAAATAAGCCCCAAATTTTCATTTTCTTGAGTAACTCTCAAGATACAGAAAACTCAGCTAGATCTGTCTTTGACCACATGTGTGAGATTGTATTTCAATGCGATTTATTGATTTACGGGCACAAATTGAAATTGCCCTCAGGATGAAATGCACTGCAGGTATACAGATAGTGAGTGATTTCTCATATGTCTTCTCATGTATCTTCATAATTGTGGAAATCCAATGAAAAAATACTATTCTAACCCTTTTTAAAGAGCTTGGCGTGCCCAGCTAGAGCATATAACGTGTAGGCTTAATCCCTGTGCTCCTCAGTTGTACAGTCTACAGTTACAAGCTTTAACTTCCTATTGGGATGCAGGCTGAGTGCCTCTTAAAGGAAATGAATGCCTCCTCCCCGTTTTCATGACTGATAAGTCTGTTGTGACTAGATTATCAGCGTTAAATGAAACAGTACTTGGGACTGCAGGACAGTGCAGGTACCAGCGTAGGTCGTCGACTGTGACACACACGTGTACAGTACGCACACTATAATACTAGCATCCGTGTTTAAAAGTGTTTCTGTCCTATCTTTTCCTATATCGGTGCTCGGAGTGAAGTTTCACATTGCAGTTTACAAGATATAGGTTTGCACACACAAACTCAGGTTTACAGTTTCACCCGGTGTACTTGAAAGGGGAAAAAAAATAAATGCGTAGAAAACAAGTGCCCAGGATTTCAACATGTATTTGTTGGAGGAAAATTTTGCAGCACTTTTCTTTTACTGCCCATAGAGACGAAAGCAATGAAATGAGGGAATACCAACAGCTATTTTTTTTCTCAGGGGAGATTCGATTGAATGTGTCAGTCATAATGTCAAACCGTGTTTACTTAATTTTGTCTGTTACTAAAGCGACTTTGTGTTTGCATCAAGGGGTCAGTTTTGGAAGGTCCTTCGCTTTGCAGACCCAGTCCAGCAAAGCCTTCATGTGCATCTCTCACTCGAAATATCTGAGCAGATTGCTGGGGACTTCAGTGGAAGCGCAAACCTTTTTTTTCCCTTCTCCCACCAATGCAATGCTTTGCTGAACTCGGCCCGGAGTGCTGAGTGCCTTGCAGACCCAAGAACTGGGTTCCTCACTTTCTACATATAAAACCAGAGCTCTGGGCTTGAGTCTAGCTGGACCCAGCAGATAACATCACAAAAGCTCACCAGAAAAAAATCTGGTAATATGGTGCTCCTCCATGTATACCCAGTGGTGAATTTCTCCAGTTGATAGGGTGATGTGTAACCACATATCTTGGATTAGAGTCAAGCCCTCCATGTCAGGGTTCACAAGCTGCTAGTATTATGTGTTTCACGGTGCAGTCATACTATGTTATAGCTGAAATTCAGCCCATGTGCAAAGCAGGGCAAAATCCTGTGCACCACTCGAGTTCCCTCCTGGCCCTGCTGTCAGAGTTCAAGGGTTGCAACAACCAATTATCCAGGTGTTTTAGGTCAGCATCCAGTTAAACGTTTGAGCGGGACTGGAGTGATGCACCAGAATGTTGCTCTGGTCTTTTGCAGCAGGGTTGTTTTCACTTAGTCAAATTTAACCCTTTGTGAATGATTTAACATGTATTTATGGATTGTGTGGGGTGTTTTTCCCCCTTGTCTGCATTCAAAGCTACCTTTATTCTCTAGTGTTGATGGCTAAAGTGTCATTCCTTATGCTTATAAATTACCATTAACTTGTGGCTACCTGAGAACACATACTTTAAAAATGCTTGTGCTTTTTTCCTTCCTCTTTCTTTTTTTATTTCTTCTTTATTTTCCCTCCCTTTCTTTTTCCTCCCATTTTTAAGGGGGTGGGTTAGTTATCAGTGTAAAGATATTTAAAAGTGCAAATGTGAAGTAAGGATAATGATTGTTAAGAGGATGTGGGTGGTATGTCTGATGAGAGAGCGGTGGGCTATAAGGCAAAGGGGAAAATGCCATGAACGTGATGTGTTGATGGTTGTTGCCTGTGGAGGAAAAAATAAGAAAAAGAAGATACATAACTGGAGAAAAATGGACTCTTTGAGCTGCTCTCAATGTAGATGACACTGTGGCAAGTTCTTAGACAAAACAAGAAGTGATCCTGCTGCGGGATGCCTTGAGCCTGGGATTGAAGAACAGCGGAGTCACTCTCAGAATTGTACTAGGAGCGTGTTGCACATTGGGAACACTTCAGTACATCATAGCCATGGGAGAACAAACTGCCTGAAACCACCAAGTACCAAAGTTTGTAACTGAATGAGTTAGCATTTGTATTATGTTGGGTTTTTGGGGGTTTGTTTTGGTTTTTTTTCCTTTTTTTGAATGTTATGATAAATAAAATGTATTTTTCAGTAAAAGACACACTGCAAGTAAGCCTGCAGTTCTTTGCTTGGTTGAATGTTTGCAAAGTTACCTTGGCTACTGTGCAGAAGAAGTGATAATAGAGGCATTACTTGTTTCAACATGTAAACGGTAACAGAAGAAAAGATCAAAACCCTCCCACTCGGAGTCTCCCCAAGTTTGTCCCAGTGTTGTGAGTCTCTTTCTGACCTGATCTCACCATTTATTCTTCCCTCTTAGAACAAAGGGAAGTTGGGGCCATTGCTTCATTTGATTTTCTGATTATTTTTTTCCCCAGGTATAACTTAAATGAAAAAAGAACTCCCCACTTTCAGTGGACTAACTTTGACCGGTATATGAGTTTGGTTATCCAAAGAACTGCTTCTTTGTCTGTTGTAATATGTTCAGAGACAGCAATTGGTGGAGTGAAAAACTTTTTTTCTGCTCATTCTCTATGTTATTTTCGTTGTCTAATATTGCTATAAGAGCAAAGATAAGATGACTTTATTAGTGGACAGCAGTATTGCTTGAATTATTGCTAGCAAAAATCTTATGCTGCTTTCGTGTGTTCCTTCTACCCTCGTGGAGATTGAGCAGCCTTCTGTTGTTAAGAACAAGTGTTTAAAAACGTATGTGTCAAACTCTGAAAAATCCCCAAATAGACTTGAAAACTGAAAGATTACTTTTGCCATATGAAAGAACACTTTCACTTCTCAGTTTTCAGTGTGTAAGGGGCACGCTATAATGATCTTCCTTTTAATCGTGTGCCCTAGATTCTTAAAGGAAAACAGGTTCCCGTCTCATAATTTATCTGCAAGTAATACAGTATGAAGACATCTGCTGTGAATTTGCTTTATCACTCCAAGGCATGGCTACACGGTCTTCCTACCTTGCTGGAAACACAGGTTTGCTGGTAAAAGAGTGGTTTACTTTTTGTGACTTTCTCTTTCTTTCCAGATTCTTTGAAATTTGTACCTAGGCATTGCCTTTAGGATAGACGTCATCAGTGACTTCACTGCCAACGTCTAAATAGTGATTCCCATACAGAGATACACATGGCAGACCCAAAACACTTAAGATTGAAATGAGAATAGACGTTGAAAGAAAGAATGGGGAAAGGGGAGGATGAACTGGGAAGAGCACAGCACACAGGCTTAGCTCAACAGCAGCAAGCTGGGTGACTGCAGGAGATCAAAGAATGACCAAAACAGAAACAAATTAATTGTGGGTGTGTAGAGTGGAGAGAAAGGCCTTGGATCACTTTGTTGAAATTAGAGAAGTCTGAAATTGCAAAGGGACCTGTGTTTGTCAACAGGAAAATTTGGGAACTCTCTTTTACTTTTCTCCAGAGAGAGCTCTTAGAGTCTGATTTCAGTAGACTTCTGTAAGTAGATCTTGATAGCACTGCTGGTTAGCACAATAGATTGAAAATTTAAGCTGAAACTTCTACAAAAGAAGTTTGTAAGTCAAAAGTAAATAAATTGGGAGACATGAACTTTAACCTTTCCCTAGGAGGGGCCCGGTCTTGCAACCAATGTTTGTCCAGCTGCAATGTGCCTCATGCCACAAGAATCCACTGAAATTAAAGAGGATTTACTATGATACCTTAAATAAACTGACAGGTGGAATACGTCTGGGATTTTCAATGATTGTTGGAGTAAATCTTACCAGTTTCTAAATATTCTTTAAAACATCACTGGTAGGAATGACAAGACCAAAAAGGTAAAAATGCAACTCTTTTGTGAAAGGAGTGGGAACAAATTAAAATGAGAAGAGGGTAATTCCCTATGTCAGATCTAAGCAAGTTATCCAGGATAAAACATAGCACTTGAGAAAAAAAAAAAAAGAGAGAGAGAGAAAAAGCACCTATTTTAGAATTGCTATCTCCTTGGCTTGTCACTACTGAGAACATGTAATCTGCTTGCCAAACCCCAAACTGTATTCTTAGTCTATCCAGCTGCTTTATTTTTGAGGTACCTGTCACTTATTTACCATATTTGAATCTGATGCTGCAGAAAGTTCCTGCCAGCCCAGCTCTGCCACTGCCTGGCTTTCCATTGACCTTTGTTGGACAAGGCATACAGTTCAAGTTAAAAATGTGCTTAAAAAGCTTGCTTAACCAGGGTTTCTGTTTACTTTGCTATTTTTAACAAATTCTCCTGTATTCTAAGGTAGCATTGCAGCATGCATTATATGGGCTTGTAACTCATAAAACATATCCATAGTTAAGGACTGCAGTTCCTTCTATGATGTCCAGCCAGACAAATTCTCTACCAAATGCTCTCAATAAAGCCAGAATTGGCTTTATATCTAACATGTACTCATTGGAAATCTGGGCTAAGTATTTTACAATTTGTTGCCTGTGTATTAACCCTAGTACCTTTCACCAAGTATCAATTTTTATTAAAAGTAAAATAATTGATGATCCTATTTCCCCTAACAAAGGCAAAGATTATGTGAGATTATGCTGATTTACACCCATGCAACTCTGATTCTTAGCCATTATTGGTAGGAAACAAAGCATTTTACCAGCACTTATTTTTGGTCAAATGTTACAAAAATAATGACTTCATCCCCTTGTCTCCTAACCTGTACTGCACTGGTTTCATTCATAACCTCATGAAGAACCTTTATCCTTTGTATTCTCCTGTGCTTTCCACATCAAAATACATTGAGGAATAGAGTGAAAACCTGAATCCTGGAATTTGAATACTTTTTTTTTTAAGAGTATATAAAAAATAATCTTTAAAAATTAGCACTCCATGAAACTTTAAGAGGAAAGTTTCAAAGTTTCTTTTTCAAGTGCGTTGCTTTTTGGACTGAGCTGGAGTATCATTCCTTCTGGGGCTTCCAGTTAAAAAGGACTTGGCATTTGTTTGCTTCTCTGAACTTCACATATGAATTATTGTTTAATTGCTACCATTGCTGATTATTTAAAAGTATGTATAATGCCATTATCAAAGATGTATGTTACATCTTTGTGATTAACCCCCGCTGATTTGGCAAACACAAAGTTTGCTTTGGTTGTAACCCTAAGTATGTTTTCATTTCAAATGCAGTCTGGAGCAATGTATTGATTTCACCTTATTTTTAGAAGTTTGTTAGTTTTGTTGTTTCCGTAGCTATGGAGCCTAAGTAAGGAAGCCATGGCCTTCCATTACCCAGCTGTTGGATTAAACCTCTCCTGGAATCCCCATTATGTCCAGCTGTTAGGGTCAGATAATTTCAGAAGCAAGTGTCTTGCTGCCATGCCAGGGGGTATCCATGAAGACACATATCACTTCTGAAGGAGCAATGTGGGTCTCAGAGGCTCTGTTTGATTTAAGTTTCAAGGGATGTTGTCAAAGCTGTGGACACCCCACCGTTGCCCTTACAGGTTGGTTGTCCCACTCTGAAAAACCAGATTTCAGTAGTGAGGATGGGCACATGATTTTCCTCAATAAGCTGTGCCAGCACTTGAATAAATAAAGCAAAAGACACGAATCAGCGTCTCTGTGAGACATGATGGATTTATGTTAAACATTTCACTTGAAAGAGAAGCACACCTGGTAGTGTTGGCCAGATATTTGGCAGTAGCCAGATTATCTTTTTCAATTGGAAACTATTTTGTGTTACGCTTTTTTAAAAGTGATCACTATTTTCATATGCCAAAGGGCCCCGTTTTGCAGGCACCCATTCAGAAGATTCTTGGATTTGAAGAAATTGAGAGGCGGTAAGCCTTGCAGGGGGATTGCTGACATCAGACACAGATCTTACAGGTACAAATTGCATTATCTAGAACCTTTTTATTCTGATTTTGGGTTGTAAAGTCATGGGCGAGCATGGCGGACTGTTGAAGCAAATTAGGCTGCAGAGTTGAGGTTGTCACCTTGTTGATATCTCAATTCTCTACAAGCGAAATAGTGATGAATAGGAATATTTCTTTGTGCCACTCTTTGTCCTCCTATATTTAGAGTGTCAGATCACTGCAGGAGAAGACTGCCTCTTTCAAGGTGTGTGAATACTTAGCTCTGGTCTTATTTTTGTTTTATATGACACAAATAGCAACTAGTAATTACAAATATAAAAGCTTGTCTCCCTTTTGTTCCTAAAACAGTAGTGGAGGTATCAAAGACTGTCTGCAACATGCAGCGTGCAGACTTTGAGAGTGGATACTGAGGTAAGTATTGACACTGCAGAGGGGTGCCTAGGTCTTACCTCTCCTCTGGGCAGAGGACTTGGACAGGCACCTCCAGCATGTGATGCATCCTGCTTGGGCTCTACAGCACTCTCGGGAGATATTTCTGTCTCCTGATTAGAGAGGGAGCCCAGGACAAGTAGGTGTCCTACTTATGTTATTGCTTCATATGTGAAAGTGAGTAAAATGGTTCCTCTTGCCCCTGTCAACACTGTTCCTTCCCCAATGAGAGGCTTTCCCAACCCAGAAAGTAACAGACAAGAAACAAGACTGAAAACAGCTTCGTCACACTGTATTTTTACCTGGTTTATTTATGCTTTGACTAGAAATGTATCAGTATTTTCAGGAAAGACAACATGCAGACTGTTTCATCCCATTGACAGTTTGATTTTTGCAGATTTCTGCACTCTTTTTTTTTTACAACACAAAAGAATTTGGATTTTTTTCTTAATCTTGTAATAATTTTTTTTTTGTGACAATCTGTGAATTTTTCCTGTCTGCTTTTCGTTTGGTTTTGGTTTGGTTTTTTTTAAACAATTGTTCCTGGCTTTTTAGTTTACTTTTTTGTGACCAGCACTCGCCCGCCTTGTCCTATAAAAATTAAATCAGATAGATCATGTCAGAGATCAGCTGAGCCGGGATGAGGTATATTCTTTCTTAATCTGCAAGGCTGATGTAAATATAAAACTTTTTTTTCACAGTTCCTGTGAAGACACAACTTGAAGCATCTAAGTAATTTTAATCAGAGGACTTGTATGAGTGAGTAGTGATTACTTTTTTGCATTGAA